TCCTGGGAGGTGGCATTTCAGCTGAGGCTAGAAAGATCTCTAGGACTTGGCCAGGCAGAGTTTTGTATGGGGCAGGGGTGCTGCCTTCCTCACTCCCCAGCCAGGGGTGCTGCCTTCCTCACTCCCCAGCCAGTTGTGGTCATTAAAAATCCATTACAGCATTAATTTTTCTGGTAAGCTGAATGGAATACAGTTTCAGAATCCTCCTCAACACAGGGCTGTAGGCAGCCACTACCACTTTGTTGGATTTGACACTTGCTGTTCTGACCTGAGGCCTCATGATAAGGCTCCTCTTGGCTGTTGTAGGCACTCATCAGGATAGAACTGTGACTTCCTTTGGGGGTGGCTGTATGCGTGGGATCCTGTAGAGGGGGACGTTTTATCAGCTGTTCTCGCTTTCCTTCTACATCATCGGAGAAGCAAGTGTGGGAGGACGGCTTGCATCTGCCTGGCCCCACAGGCCTGCTTCCAGCATATTGAGATTGTTCTGCTAGCTTTTCACCTTCCAGTTGCAAGTCAGTGGCAGGATTGATGAGTTAAGGTCTGGGACTGTGTCCTGCAAGCCTGAGTCACAATATTGAGAACAATAAATTCCTTATATTACCCTTAAATGGAGATGGTTCTTAAAAGCAGCATTTGTTTAAAGACACTGTCATCCTAGGAGGCAGAGTGGCTTGTTGCCTATGCAGTGATTGAGAAAAACGAGGGGCACATTTTGATCCCAGCTGTGCCACTAAAATGTTTCTTGTGACCTTGGGTAAGTCACTTAACCTTACTTGTGAGCATTTTTAAAACAATCCCCCAGGTTGTTATGAAGAGCCTTGAAAAAATTTGTTTTTAGCAAATAAGAGCTGGCACGTGGAAGTGGATTGGAATCCCTGCTGTGTATTTATGAAGAAGAAAGGTTAAAGGTAGTTTTTAGCTGTACAGTGTTTCTTTCAGTCTCTTAGTCTAAATAAGTAGTCTCCTTATTGGAAACTTACTAGTTAATGAAAGCTCTTTGGTGGTAAATCATTTTAAATTGGCAATTGCTCTGGTGTGCCGAGCTTGAGAGATGTTCTACTCTCATTCGTTCAACAAAAGAAATCAGCTGTGGTCTCTGACCTATTTATTTAGAGGTAGACTCAACCTTGCCAAGTGTAGAAAAGACTGGGAAAGCATACAGTTTCACTGGCCCGTGCCATGGGCTGCGGCACATCCTTACTCATTTGGAAAAGGCTTTTTTCTCCTTCAGTTTTTCTTTAGTGTTCTTACATCAGCTAGTATATTAGTTGCAGTTGTACTTTGCACAGACACTAATTAGAGAGCCATCAACATTGGGGTCCAAAGGCTTACTGACAATGCAACTGTCATAGTGGTGTCTTAATTGGTTGAGTGTAATTGTCATTAGGCAGCAATAAAGACATCTGGAGCTCTGGATAAAAATCAGCCTTTTCCCTACCTCCATTCGATATCTGTTCTTGCTTCTCCTGGCCAATGTTGTTAAGCACTTTTAGATCACATTTAGGGTTTGGTCCAAGTCCTTCTGCCTCAACCAATGTTTTACTCTCCTGAAAATGTCTCTTTCTTTAGCACAAGTTCGTTAATGCCGAGTCTGACTCTCATGCTATATGGCTTTCATGTGCATTCAGTTTGGGAGCATGCTGCTGAGTTGTAACTCGGTACCCACTGAAATAGGATATTTAGTCTCTGTTCCATCAGTATAGGAGACAGAGTCTTTTATATTTTACCTCCTGAGTCATTTTGCAGCAAAAACATTTATGTTATTACCATGTTCTTTGGCCGTGAAGAATAGAGTTAATTGAAATAGGTATCTATGGAGAAGGTCATGTTTACTGGGATAATTTGGCTTATCCCATGTTTTATAGAGATTATTTTAGTCAGTTTGGAAATAAGCGCAAGAAATCTAGTGCACCTCGATGTGTGCGTTCTGGGTGTTTCGCTAATAATTAGCGCAGGAGGGTGGGCTGGGGAAATAAGAAGGGGTGCCCCTCAAGCCAGTGAGGTTGTTACTTGTGGACACTCCCTTTTAATCGCCATTTATTTTTGTGTGCTTATTACAGAGAGTCCATCTGTGTGCAAGGAGCTGTTGTGGAGGTACAGCGGAGCCTTCACGAGGGCTTTGTAGTCAAGTCGCAGAGACGTGATCTATGCATATCGAATATAACAACAAATGTCGTTTCTTCAAATAAAGGGCGTAGTAGTCGAGTCAGGGAAGCCTTTGTGGAGGAGGGGAGGGTCCGTGCTAGACCTTGCGGGGTTGGCAGGTTCGGGCCAGGTCAGTGGTTCTCAGTCTGGGCTGCACATTGAAAACACTGATGCCTGGTCCCACCCTCGACAGTTAGGTTTAATTGGTCTGGGGTGCACTAGAGTAGAGGGAGTTTAAAGGCATTCAAGGTGGTTCAGATGTGCAGCCAAGGTGGGAGCCCCACAGGCTGGTGCTGAGGAGGGAAAGCACTCCACGACGGTGGACGATGGACTGGGGTTCAGAGGCAAGAGTGTTTACAAGCTTGTCTGGAGGCTGGCTCTTGCGAAGGAAGGGAAGGTGAGGCTGGGGAGAGGGCTGGAAGCTCCTCTGTGGAGTGTTTTTAGTAGGCCTCATAATTATACCTTTATCAATAAGGCATTAAGAGATAAGACCTTACAGAGGGCTCCCTGGGTGTGTGTCAAGCACTGTTCTCGTCTGACTGTTGTCCTTCTAGTCTAGCGATCCCCATCCTTTTTGACACCAGGGACCGTTTTCATGGAAGACAATTCTTACACAGTGATGGGGGGAGTGGCTGTAAATATAGATGAAGCTTCACATGCTCACCAGTGCTCGCCTCCTGCTGTGTACCCCCCTCAGTTCCAATTTTTCCATAGATGGGTGTAGGAGGGGCGACGGGGGTTGGACAGAGCTCTGTGGCCTGGTCTCTGACAGGCCTTGGTATGGCACCGGGAGTTGGGGACCACTGTTCTAGTCAGTAGATGTACAGCTGTGAGCAAGACCCCGACCTCAGAGGCTTATAGGTTGGTAGGGAGACAGTAAGATAATCACACATAGGCCCGGCGTCGTGTGGCTCACGCCTATAATCGTAGCACTCTGGAAGGTTCAGGCGGGTGGATCGTTTGATCTCAGGGAGTTTGAGACTAACCTGAGCAAGAGCGAGACCCCGTCTCTACTAAAAAAATAGAAAGAAATTAGCTGGACAACTAAAAATATATATATACGTAAAATTAGCCGGGCATTGTGGTGCATGCCTATAGTCTCAGCTACTCAGGAGACTGAGTCTCTGTATTTCTGAAAGATTTTGCCATCCTTCTTTTCTGAATCAGCTAGTTCCTTTCACATAGAATTTAACCTTATGAATCTAATCACACACACTCTAGAAATTCAAGCTGTTACTTCTATTCAGTGTCTCTGTAGCTAAGCAAGTGGCCTTACTGCAGAGAACGGCCTGAGTTGTTTTCAGGGTGTCAAGTTGAGCCCACTGTTTTGGGTGCAGTGGGGTATGTGTTCTGGTATAGGGCTCCTCGTTGAGAAGGGTGATCGGACGGACCACTGCCTGAGTGAGAGCCTGGGAACCGGTGGCCGTGCTTTGGCCGGAGTGGTGTCAGCGTCTGCCCTTGCTTGCGCATCGCCAGACTCGAGGACCCTTGTGCTATGAGCATTTCTGTTGACTAGAGGATCAGTGGGCAGGGGTACAGCACCTAGTTTCAGATAGCCTGTCTCTCCAGTTGCACTCTCTGTAGGACACACACACTCCAGTCGCCGTCCTGTAGTAGAGAGCCAAGTTTTCCAAGGTGGAGAATTGGTGTGACAGAACGACCTTTGGATTGTGTAATATATGTGTTTACTGTAGCTTCATAATCTCGGGGGAGTACTCGTAAATGAGGCACTCCTCAGTCGGAGCCTTCTTAGTTTTTTTTATCAAGGAATCTTACCTGAGATTGATCTTCAATAGCTATTTCATAAAAGTATCGTATCATAGATTTCAGTGATTCAACGAATCTCAGAGGTTATCTTATTCAGTTCTACAAAGAAACCCTGAAGGAACTGTGGCTAGGGCCTCAGGAAGACGGTGAGCCCCTTAAAATTGTCTGCCTGTCTTCGTGTTTGTGTGGGTACAGCTTGAGGCCTTAGATGCATTTCTCCCTGTCTGCCCCCATATCACACAGTTGCTTTACATGCGGAATGAACCTCTCTGTAGCAGATGTAAGCAACTGAACTTAAATACCAGTGGCAGGCATCACCCCATCTCATCATCTGTCCATTCCATTATCCCAGGGGCCTTGTGTCTGAGCAGATTCTGGCCCTGCCTTGGCTTTGATGGAGAGAGTCATTTGTTGGAGTGGCAGTAGTGATAGCAGAGAGTGAGCGCTCCTGTTTTCTAAGTAGACAAAACTAGGGAGTGTCATGCACTCAGCAAGAGCTTTTCATGAGAAGGCAGCACTGTCTGCCTGCTAAAGTCAAGATTTAATTGTTTCAGCAAATCAATGAGTCTTCAGGGACTTTAATCAGTCAAATCTGATGCATGGATGAGGTATTAGAAAGCCTGTGCCTGTAAGACATTAGTTCTTAGTATCCCTGCAGCACCTCTCTGTCTTTCGCGTGTGTGTGTGTGTGTGTGTGTGTGTGTGTGTGTGTGTGTGTTGGTGGGTAAATAGTGTTGCTTATACAGATATGTTAGCGATCCCTTTAGTGGGAGCACTTACGGTAGCAGATTTTTTATAATAGTGTAAAAGGAAAAGCAAGGAGATCTGGATACCCACTTCTTATTATCATTTTCTCATTTGAAATTGTCACCATTGTGCTGTGAGAATGTGAAATGCATTCACAGCCTTCTGTCATCTAGTTGACATTTTCTCCTGTTGGAATTACTCGTCTAAACAGTGCTGCAGGAGTGGTTCCACACCGACCAGATCTTTTTCCTCTGTTGTTTTAAGGCCCTCCACATTTCCCCCACCACGGCCCTGTTCTTCAGTCCCCTTCTGGAACCAAGCATGTCCTTCTTTTCCAGATATACATCAGGGGACGTGAGAGTGTGGGACACCCGCACCTGGGACTATGTAGCCCCCTTCCTGGAATCAGAGTATGAGGAGGATGAGTCTGGAATGCAGCCATATGTCTCCTTTGTGAGGATAAACAGCTCGCTGGCGGTGGCGGCTTATGAGGATGGTAAGTAACCACAACCCTCCTCCCTATTAAGGAAAAAAAAAAGCTTTACAAAAATTAAGCAGCTGTGGCTGGCTCCCCCCTGTAATCCCTCCATACGTACATGTAGGCACACACACATGTTCACACACATAGTCACTTTTGCCTCTATGTGAAGAAGTTGGCCAGTAACCCTCCATGCATTAGTAGGCGTTGGAACACAGCACCCATTAAAACTGGTGTTTAATTCCTCCTGGAACTGTCAGGCTGGGTGTTAGTGCCAGGCACAAGGCTGGCCAAGCCATCTTAAGCAAATAACTTGTTTGGTGTAAAATATTAAATATACTTGGCCTACTTTTCCTGTAGCCTCTGCTCAGCCCAAAGAGAATAGTAAAAAGGGGATAGCATAGATAATCTATTGACAAATATGGAAATAGAAAAATAAAAGTCAATGCCTACCTTTTCCTGGCATTTATTGATGATAATATATTTTCTCTTTGGCACTGATAGAATTCTTTTTGAGCAGCCGTGGGTTTATTGAACTAGGTAAGAATAGTCTAAAACTAGTTTCTCTTATTTAAAGAGATACTTGACAGGTTATAGCTAATGCAGATAATAATTTCAATGGTGTGATATCCTATATACCTGCCTCTCATGCTCCTAACCCTTGTTATATTGTAAAGTTTTGAATCGCCAAAAGCTTTTGTTTCCCTACTTGCCTGAAAGTTGGCCCACAACGTATTTCAGAATGTTAGTGTTGTGATCATGGCATTAGAGTTGTTGTAACATCAGCAGTTGGCACAGAGGGACAAAACTATAGTGGGTATGGGGAATTTTATATCCACGTGCTGTTCTAAAATAAAAATTAGTGAGATCTTGAAAATATTTTTATTACTTTAGCAACATGAACTCTGTTCTTTTGGTTTGATACTAGTGGACACTGTTTTTCTTTTCAGCCTATACAAATTTAGCCAAGCTTTTACTGTGGCATAATTATTCTAAATATTTGAGATATGTTTATTCAGATCCTGGATAGATAACATAAGAGCAGCTTGAACGTATTTGCTACTTTGCAAATTATCAGTGAGTTTTTTTGTTTTTTTTCCAAAACACCTATGTAAAGGTTGCAGTACTTTTAAGGTAGAATCATGCAGTTTTAGAATCATTTCATATCCTCACCCTGCCATTCACACACATGAATGTGCACACACATACTCTTCTACAAATGGGGAAACTGAGATCCAAAGAAGCCAGCTAAATAATTTGCTTTGAGGTTGAAGTTGGCAGTGAATCCAGAACTGACTGTGTCTCCCAGGCCATGCTGCAGTGATGGTGCTGATTATGGACCCTAAACACAGAGGCGCTTGTAGAAATGTGCACCTGATTTATTTGTAGCCCACATCTCTCATCTTGTGAGCTTGAAAATAAAGCTTGAGGTAACATGCATGTGTGCTGCTCCTGGCTTTATTTTATTTTTATTTTTATTTTTGAGACACAGTCTTTCTTATTGCCTGGGATGGAGTGTTGTGGCCTCATGATAGCTCACTGCAACCTCCAACTCCTGGGCTCAAGCATCCTCCTGCCTTAATCTCCTAGGTAGCTGGGACTACAGGTGCACGCCACCACGCCTGGCTAATTATTTTCTTTTCTGAGTAGAGACAGTGTCTCCCTTGCTCTTGCTTAGACTGGTTTTGAACTCCTGAGCTCTAGCGATTCTCCTACCTCAGCCCCCCAGAGTCCTAGGATTATAGGCATGGGCCACCATACTGGGCCTGCTGCTGGCCTTATGTTGTTGGTTAGAATTGTTTTTGTTGCTGTCATCCCCATTGTTGCACAGAAATATTGGCAAACAATGTAGATATGATGAAGAATCTACTTTCTTTGGTAAATGCTTGGCAAGTAATTGCCAAAATATATTTTAAATACTTGATTTTAAAAATTGGTAAAATTTGGCTGGGTCTGGTGGCTCATGCCTGTAATCCTAGCACTCTGGGAGGCTGAGGCAGGAGGATTTGGTGAGCTCAGGAGTTCCAGACAAGCCTGAGCAAAAGTGAGACCCCGTCTCTACTGAAAATAGAAAAATTAGGGTGTGGTGGCACACGCCTATAGTCTCAGTTTTTTGGGAGGCTGAAGCATGAGGGTCGCTTAAGACCAGGAGCTTGAGGTTACTGTGAGCCAGGCTGACACACAGCACTATAGCCTGGGCAACAGAATAAGACTGAAAAAAAAAATTCAATATCAAAAAATAAAATTCAAATAGAGCAAAACTGTATATCAAACGTCAAAGAAAATATATCCAAAAAGAAGTTGGAATGTTCCTCGCTCTCCCCACACTTCTAGGCCCTCTCTCATCTTTCACGTTGGGCCCCCTCTGTTTACTTTTCTGTACCTTTCTTCACCTCGTAACACATACTGGTGATCTTCCATATTAGCACTTATAGGGTAAACTTTATTCTTAATGCCTGTGTAATATTGCATTATGTATCTGTGCTATAATTTATTTATTAGGGCCTGTATTGATGTGCATTTGAGTTGTTTATTTTTGTCTTTGAAAACAGTGCTGCAAGCAATATCCTTGAACAAATGCCATGATGGACTTGTGCAAGTGTAGCCCTGGACTCAAGTGCTAGTGATTGCTGAGTTGGAGGCTACGGCTGCTTTAGGTTCTGATAAATATTGCCAGATTGCCCTCAAGAAAGTTTTGCCAGTTTAGTCTCACCAAAAGCATATGAGAGTGACTGTTTCTTCCTACATGACTGATATGTGAAAATGGTATTTTACTGTTGTTTTTGTTTGCCTTTTTTTGAGACAGAGTCTTGCTCTGTCACCCGGGCTAGAGTGCCATAGCGTCACCATAGCTCACTGCAACCTCAAACTCTTAGGCTCAAGTGATCCTCTTGCCTCTGCTTCCCAAGTAGCTGGGACTATAGGTGTGCACCACCATACCCAGCTAATTTTTTCTATTTTTAGTAGAGATGGTATCGCTCTTGCTCAGGCTGGTCTTGAACTCCTGAGCTCAAGCCATCCTCCTGCCTCGGCCTCCCGGAGTGTTAGGATTACAGGCGTGAGCCACCGCGCCTTGCCTTGTTTGCCTTTCTTTAATTATATAAGTATATATGAACATCTTTTCATTGTGTTTTTAGTTCTATTTCTTTCTCTGCAAATTATTTGTTCATGTCTCTTTCCATTTTTTCTTTTGGGTTTTTATCTTTTCTAAGAAAAGGGCTTAGAAAATAACCTTTGCTACATATATTTCAGACATTTTTTCAGTTTGTCATTTATTCTTCGATAGACTTTGTTTATGGTTTATTTTTGTAAAAGGTAGTTTTATGTGCATATATGTATGACTGGTTTTTAATTTTTTTAGCCATAAGTGAGTGGGTTGTATTTTGTAATTTAATATTTTTGACTGATACATTTTTAGGGTTCAGATCAAAATAATATAAAGTTACATATTGAGATGTCTTGCTTCCACCCATTTTTGTCTACTCCATTCTGAAGTAACCATGTTTTTTTACTCTCTTATATATCCTTGTATTTCAGTATTACAAACATAAGCAAATATGAATATCCTTATTTCCCCTCTCCCCTTTTAAACAAAAGCTGTCATCTTATTTACATTATTCTACCTTGGCTTTTTGACTAATTCACATATCTTGAAAGATAGTGTAAAGAGAATGGCCCATTTTCACAATCACGTGGTGGTCCATTATGTCCAACTGTTGTGGTTTACTAAAGAATAGTCATGTTGTGTCTGATGTTTTGCTATTACAAACAATGTCATAGTGAAAAACCTCGTACAGATATTACTTCATGTGAGTACAGGAGGGATGGTTTCCTATAAAAGGGAATTCTGGGTCACGGTAAATGCAGATGGGGTTATACTATTTTTCACTCTTACCAGCAAGGTATGGGTATGCTCATACCCTCAGAGTTTTACCAGCAAATTATGTTTCATACTTTTGGGTATTTGTCAGTTTGATAGATAATGAATGGTCTCTGAATATAGTTTTAATTTAAATTTCTCTTATTGTGAGAGAGGGTTGAATTTTTAAAATATGTGTATGTGCTACTTACAGTTTTTTCTCTTCTCTTCTACTCCCCTCTCCTCTCCAGTGTCTTTGTCACCCTGGCTAGAGTGCAGTGGCATCATCATAGCTCACTGCAACCTCAAACTTTTGGGCTCAAGTGATCTTGCTGCCTCAGCCTCCCCAGTACCAAGTAGCTGGGACTGGCTAGTTTTTCTATTTTTAGTAGAGATGAGGTCTCTCTCTTGCTCAGGCTGGTCTTGAACTCCTGAGCTCAAGTGATCATCCTTCCTCCTAGAGTGCTAGAATTACAGGTATGAGCCAGTGCACCTGGCCCTAGTTCCTCCTTTCTTCTTCTGTTTTTTTTTTTTTTTTTCCTATTACTGTTATGGCTGGTTTTTAATGTTTTTAGCTTAATATAGAATTCATTCTGAGTTAGTATGAGATAAGGATCCAAGAATATCTTTTCTCCAGCCTCCTTAGGAAGCCCTTCTTTCTCTACCTTCCTGGTTTGAGGCGCTGCCTTATAAGCTTTTAGATATAAGATTCATTTTGTGTCTGGGTCTGTTTCATGACTTTTATGTTCTGTTTCAGTTGGTCTGTCTGGCAGTTTAAGTTTACATCGTTAAGTTTATCAGTCCTTTTGGGTTTCATATCATGTTCGGGGAGACAGTTACTCTACAATTAGGTAAAATCTATAGATCCTCCAAGGCTGCAGTGTTTACAGTGAAATCTTTGGTTTTTGTCTCAAGTTCACTTTGGTATTAAAGGTTATTTCTTTTATAAGAGCTCTTGTGTTTTCTTTCATCTCTCTCATACTGAGCTTGTTTTACCAGTCTGATCTGGGCGGTTACTATTTCTGTGATAAACAACTTCTCATTCTTTCCTCAGACTTCAGGTGGCTTTATCTTTGCTCTCACTTCAGTTTAGCAGATTGACACTATGATATTTATACCAAAATTTTCATGAATAGCTACTTTTGGCCAAAGACAGAAT